TTGCGCAAAACCCCCCCCCGCCAGTTCTTGCTCGGCTCCGCAGCCCCGCGGTGGCACCGTGCTCTCTCGCAGCGCAGTAATACACGGCCCGGTCCGCCCGCGCCGCCTGCAGGAGCCGGAGCGTGAACCTGTTCTCGGAGCTCTTGACCTTCCCTTCAAAGCGTCCCTGGAAGCCGTCGCCGTAGTGGTCCCCTTCTCGGTAAATCCAGGTCAGGGTGCCCTGCTCCCCCTTCCGGTACCAGTACATCCAGTATTTGCTCATCTCCTCTCCCTCCAGGCTGCAACTGAAAGTCACTTCTTCTCCCTCTCGCACAGTCTTGTTCTGGGCATCCTGGCGCAGCAGCTCGGCGCTCCGGGCCGCTGGGGAGAGAGAGCCGGTGTTGAGGAGCCAGAGGCCCGGACCGGCGGGAAAGGAGAAGAGAACCGGGGAGGCGCGAGGCAACAGCGGCTGTGGGGCTGGGAAGGAACTGGGCATCCTACAGCACCCCCCCCACATCGGCTGTGCCCAGGAAATCAGGGCAGAAGTGGGCCCGCCTTCCCCCGCGGGTCCTGTCCTACGTACTTGTGCAGACGGCGCCCAGAAGCAGGAGGAGGCAGACGCTGCCCATCTCCGCCCCGGGCCCGGCACGTCCTCACGCCGCCCCGCTCTTCAGCCCCAGGGCTCGGGCCCCGACCCGTCCCCCGCAGGAGCTGCGCGGCAGCGCGCGGTCCGTGTCCCGCACTTCTTGCGCCAGCCCGGGCCTGCACGCGGCCTGCCTGGGACTGCGCTGGTGCCCGCGGGGAGCGAGCTGTGCCGGGCCGGTTCAGGCAAGGAGCCCTCCGGGGAGGCAGGCCCGGCCCCAGGGGCGGCTCCGACCGCAAGTGCAGCTGCCGCTTCCTCGGACGTGTCGGGGCGGGACGGGGAGGCCGGGCTGGTCCCGCGGGCTGTGCTCTGCGCCCGCCCCGGCAGTGAAAGCACGCTGAGGAGGCGGCGCCTGCGCCCTGGGAGGTCGGCTGGGCTGGGCTGAGGGGGTCAGTTATTTTTCTGGCACGGGGCGCAGCAGGGAAGGGAAAGGTCCTGCCTTCCTTCCGCGGGTTCAAGCCCTAAATTGATGCCCGCACGTAAAGGAGGCCTCCGGGGCTGTACCGAGAAATCCCGAGAGGCTCAAGTAGGGGGAGACGGGACAGAGGCTCTAGTTGCGGTGCCATCGTGTCGGCTCCGGGCGCCCTGTCGCTGCGCACATGAGACTCTGGGGTCCGCACAGCGCCTCCTCCCTCCCCTCCCCTCCCCTCCCCAGCTGCCACGAGCTCCTTCCCTTCTCCCGGCGCTGTGCGCTGCAAAAGGAGCAGCAGCGCCGCCGTCGGCCCCTGCCTGGAGTTACAGTCAGCCTCCATCTTCTTCAGCAGAGACCAAGCCGTGGTGACCGCAGGTCCCCAGCCCTGCCCGTCTGTCTGTCTCAGCTCCCTCCAGTGGCGTCCGCCCGCTCTCATCTGCCTCCCTATCCACCCCCTGTCACCTGCGTGAGTGTTTCCGCAGGGGCAGGACCCCAGACATGGGTGAGGACTCTACTGTGCCGGGCACAGCACAAGCATAAGGAAAAGATGCTTCCCACGAACCCTTCCCACTGCCAGTGCCCGGCTGGGATTAGCAGTAGGAAGACACTGAGCTTTCCCTGCCGGTCTGTGCTGGGGGGCAGGAGCCCGCTCCTCCCCGGGGAGGCAGGGACCAAACCGCCCTCTCCGGCCTGAGCGCGGCTGCAGCTTCCTCGGAGATGTGGGCGGGGCGATTAGGGCCCCGGTGCTCACAGGGACCCCGCGCTGCACCCCGCACCCAGCGGAGCCGATGGTGAAAGAGGACGGAGGAGTGTGGAGCACGCATATGGCTGGGGCCTGCGACTGAAGAGGTGTCCGTGTTTCTTCTACCCCGGGAAATAGGTTTGCTGCCGCCGGAACTGCAGTTAGACGGGGGAAACTTTCCTTCTTGCCCCCTTTCTGGCGTATCGAACTGCACCTGTATCGCATTCAGCTCCTACGCCCGCACACCATGAGGCAGGCTGGTACTTGGTCATGACCCACGCTGCTGTGCTGAAGAGGCGCATCATGTCAGCCCTAGCCTCATTGTCTTACATGGGCTCCGGGTCCGCGCAGATGTGCCTGGGTGTGCGTGGACGGTGTGAAGGGAAAGAATGGCCTTGAGAGACCGAGGAGGAGCGGGGTCGGCGGTGAGTGCGGGAGAGCAGGTGGGCAGGTCTTTGTTCTCGGTGGCCTCATGTTGCGTGGGTCTGCAGGCGCGTGCTTATGGGTCCCTCCCAGTGCCTGCCCCGTTGCCCAGAGCACAGGCGCTGACAGTCACAGTTTCTTGAGGACATTGTTAATCTTTCTAGGAGACCCAAATGCCTTCTCCAGCTTCCGTGCCAACAGAACAGAGAAAGCTCCCGAAAGTCTGTGGAAATGGAGTGTCACACATACAACTCTTTGTCTTGCACACAAATGCACACACACTTGCATGTGGACAAGCATATGTATACTGTCTCTTCCTTATAGTGTTCACAATTGCAGTGAGAAT